AGATATATCAGGGACACATCTACTTCAAGAGCAATTTACCCATCATCGAAGCAGAGTTGGTATATTACTCTTATTATCAGCTGTAAAGCATTGCTTTGTGTGGGAATTTTCCTGGCATATGATCTGCTGAAAGTTGCCAATGTTGTTCTGCTTGTTTGCCTTCTCAAATTGGTGTAAGTATATTTTCAAAACAAAATAGTTATTTCGTGTTTTTGGTGCCTTGTTCTCAAGCAGAACTATACATGCTGTTTATATTAATTTTTTGTGAATATTTATATTCTCATGCACCTTAAAACTATTTTTCCATACATAGATATATCTTTATTACTTTCCATGGATCCATATGTTAGCCAGATGACAGTAAGATGTGGAATAAAATACCTGTTGCTTTGAAAAAAGTATGCATTGTTTTCTGTGTATTGGTGTTTACAAATGTTGTGTGTTATTAAACTGAACTGGAACAGGATTTGAGTACTTTTGTAAGTAATGAGAAACAAACTTCAAACATGGACCCTTTCTTCTTTTTGCTATGATGACTGAAGTTATGTTCAGTAATTATCTCAGTTTGCACATATTAAACATATGCTGTTCTAGCTGCCGTTTTGTGTTAGGATAATAATCATATGAATTCATTAACATGTGAATGCTGGAAGTATGGTTTTACAGAGGTAGATGTACGTTGAAATTTGTCCAAGATCAGTTGATTGCATTTGTCTTTGAGGTGGTGGGTTTCTGGGATGTAGCATCTTGTATTTTGGTGGCTATTGACTGATGTTTCAAAGGAGCTCACTGCCTTCGTAAGCACCATAATGAGATTTGTCTGACAGCCAGATTTTCCAACACTTTTTGAACTCTATTTTTAGTCTCTCTGTCATTCACACATGCACACACACAATATATATATATATATAATATATGCCCTACATGTAGAAAGAACTGGAAGAATGTGCTCGTGGTGAGATTTTAAAGATCATTTATAAAACCTTTTAAAAGCCAATCACTGTGCTTACCCTGGTTGTGTTCTCTCTGCTGTGTTAATCTGCTCAGACACTTGGGAATTGTATAGGATTTATTTTAATATTCAGCTTATGGACAATATATGCACATAACACTGTAATTGCTATTTGCTTTTCTGCCTTTCTCTTCATTCTGTCTCACTGTAAATAGCCATGTTGGTAAAAAAAACAGATGAGCTGTCAACTTATTTTATGAAGCAGTTTAAAAGTTTTCTTCTCTGTTGATAACACTGTGAATGAATATCAGTGAAATTGAAAGCTGATTATGGATACATAATCATATAATTTCCTTTTAGTAAAGGAAATTTTGATCTTTCTTGTATCATATGTGTTTAATGCAACTACTGAATACTTGAGTTTCCTAATTATGTGATTCATATTTCTGTTTGTTTTCCTTCTACTCAGTATGTACAAATCAGGATAAAGGAGCTTGTGAAAGGGAGTTGATTCAATTTTATTTGAAGCTGTGTTGAAAAGGTCTCAGTGCATTTAAAGAATGGAATGACGATTCATGCTAATTGAGTTTAAAATGATGAGTGCCTGTTTTAGTATCTTTGATCCAGTTGAAGGTATCACTTTATCTAACAAGACAAGGTACATTTAAGCTATGTGTAATTATAGATAGTTTTGAACATTAATAAAATGTGAATTACATATATTATTTTCCCAAAACATTTAATTTAAACTTTGATGTCAGTCAGTTTAATTTTTTTAATACTATTCTTAAATTGTGAATTTAGTAAGCAGTTCTTTACTGGTGTGATGTTCTTCTGGCTTTTGACACTGCGTAGATTTGTATGTAGATGGCAATATTTTTTTGAGAAACAAACTGTGTCCATCATCAGCCCTGAAGATGGAAACAGTATGTTTTTTTGAAACATTGGTATTTACTGATGAATATACACAGCATCAAAACCCGAAACAGGAGCATCGTCATCCTCGCCATTGTGAGGACCTCATAACTCGCACAGTTCTTTATAATTTTTATTCATTTAATCTTTGATGGCAACTCTGGCAATATGAACCAAATGTAAGTTTGATGGTTTTTTTCATATTGTGTGACATTTGGCCAAGTAGTAGTAATTAAACACAGAATTAATGGTCTGTCATATTCATGTTTAAGTCTGATTTTTCCCAGGAAACTCTGTTTCCAAATAAGAACTTTGACCCACCTATGTCAACCTTAACAAAACTATTAAATTCATCATTTTGTATGGTCAGTTACTTCATGTCTTAGAATATATGTAATTGTTTTGATCACTGACCTAGTACTGATATTGAATCAGCTCTCTTTCTTTGCTTGTAGGTTGTGAAGGGAGCTAAGGATCAGGCAGGTTTACTGTACCATGAGTTCCAGACAGAAACGATCTAATGGTGGTTATGGTCTTCGCAGAAAAGTAGCAAAAAAAAGGTTGGATGAAGATTTTGAGTACTACTTTTCTAAAATTGGTTCACATTTGGATGCACCTACTACAAAACCAATAAAGGAACAGAGAGAAAACAAGGTTCATACACATTTAGTTACAGTGACTGAATTGGTAGACCCAAGTGAGGGGTCAGATATGAAGATTAATGGGTCTCCAGAGAAAAGAACTCGTGGCAGACCCAGAAAAATCCACCCAAACCAAAGTCAAGAGCATTATTTTACAGATTCTGCTCTCAGACTTGTGGATTTAAAAGAGAAAGGAGCCAAAAAGCTCAGAGCTGAATATTTGAATGAAACAGAAACATCAAAAGCTGTTGGTGAGATTTACTCAAAAAGTGAGCCTCTTATGACAGTGGCCTGTGAAGAGGAAGTTGGGAATGTTGACTGTATAGTTAAGCGAATTAAATTGGAGACAGTGCTGGCAGGGGACGATATGACAGGTCTGCAGGAAGAAGAAGTGGGTTCTCTTCCCGAAGGAGAGAAGGAGAACTTGCCTGAGGATGGGGTTCATCTTGATCCAGAGTCTGATGCCGAGGAAGGGCTGGGCTTGCGAATAGCTGTAAATGTGCATGCCGACATTGACGACGAAGCCATGTTTGAGGAAGAACATGATGGGTTGGTGAAAGATACAGCTATGCTGAAAATGAAACGTAAATATAAGAAAGGTTGTCTTAGTCAAGATGCAATTCAGAAACTGAGTCAGTTAAGTCCTGATGATAAGATTGAGTGTAATGAGTGCCACAAACTTTTAAAGCCATCTTCATTCCGGCAGCACCTGCGAACTCACACTGGAGAGAAGCCTTTTGGTTGTGAAGTTTGTGAGGCGAGATTCACACGCAAGGGTGATGTGGAACGCCATGTACGCATTGTGCACAATAAGCAGAAACCATTTAAGTGTTGTCGTTGCCAGCGAGCTTTTGGGGATAAGAAGAATCTCCGGTGGCATCTTATGAATCATGATAAGAAGCTGTTTTATGTGTGTGAGGTGTGTGGTTTCAAATTTGGGAAGCGTGAATACTGGGAAAATCATGTAAGGTTTATCCATCCAATCCCAGGTGGTCTGGAACTTGATGAAAATAATATCGAAAGAATAGATGACGAAGAGGAGACTGAAGATCGTTTGAGAACCTTGACCAAAACTTTACTTGGTGAAGACGAATTAGCAGTGGATGATCCGGGCGAGGAGTGTGCTGTGGCAGCAGCTGCCATAAATTCAATCCAGTCAAAGGAACACGCAACAGATGATGCAGTCAGTCCAGAGGTTACATTGCCATATGTCAATCATGTATCAAGACAGGAAGGAATAAAATTCATCAATGTTAAAAACTTAAATTTATCTAGTTTGGTAAAAATGGGGCAACCAAAAACAAACAGAAACCTTGAGCAATACACTCAAGTGGTTAATCAAAATCAGGGAAGGGGAATTGAAGCAGTAGTGATTCAGTTTGATGGGTCTGATTCAGAATGCAGTGCTTTACAGTCTATTCAGCATACACAGCCAAGTTTTCAGCAACAGTTGGCCCCCAATCTAATTCACGTTGTAAATTCTCAAGATATGTTGGAAATTGTAGAAGCAGAGGAGTCGCAGGATCAGGAGTCAATTGTTATTGAGACACAGGACTTTGCCGAGGCCACTCTGAACAAGCCAGGGACTACAGAAGTGATGGAAGAACAAGTAGTAGAGGTGTCTGGAGGAGGGCCAAGTACCATAGAAGTGGACAGTAGCCCTGTTCATTATGTTAATGAAGCAGATATCGAGCCTTCCAAAGTGATTAGCATAATGCTAACTGAGAATGGAGATGCTGGTGGTGATAACAGTTCTGTGCAGACGCTGATAGAAGCATTGCTTGTTGCAGCAAAAGATGGTCAAAGTAATGGCACTCAGTCTACATGAACCTCAGTTGATGTATCGATGATTTAAGCAATGATAAATAAGCAGTTATTTCTGTGTATATAATTATAAATTTTATCAAAAATATCCATCTACCATTGAAAATAGTGTCATAAGTATATTAAGATGCTAGTATATGCTGTAAGTGTAACTTAACAGTTGACCTCTTGCATATACAGTGTGAATTTATTACATGATAAGTTGTCTTTCAGGTTACATCATTTTTGTGTGTGAAATTCGTTTTTTCTTTGTTGATAGACAAATATGTGAAACAAGTTATGATGTGTGTATGTGTATATATCTTCTTCTATGACTCTCCGGTCTGTATTTGGTCCATGGCCTCCTCAATTCTCCTCTTCCATTCAGTCCTCTGTTAGGTCTGTCTGTCCGAGGCTTTGATCGAGGTCTCGAAACATATTCCTTTTTACGGTGCAAGGTTGTTAGCCTTGCGACCAACCCCCAACCTGGAGGACCAGGGTACCTGTCTTAGTCTGACCTCTCCCCCTCAACCAATCTGGCTAGGGAGGCCCTACCAGTAGCTATGCTACTGCCAGCATAGCTCTTGGGATCACTGAGGTACTCAAGTCCCACCACCACAACAAGGTGCAGGTACCATTAAGTGGGGTGTGTATATATATATACACACACACACACACACACACACACATACATATAAAACAGGGATATGCAAACTGAAGATGAGAGTCAGGATTACAGACACCTTTATGGGCTTCATTTTTTACATTAGTAGTTGGCTAGAGGTGCAGAAAATATTCAAATTTCCTTGTACATAAATTTCATTCAGTATTTTGTTTATGACCAGATCAGAGTCATTCTTGTGAAACTAATAGAGTGCTCAGCTGGGCAGTTCCCAACTTTTATGGAACCTGTCCTCTAACACGAAGCTATTTAGACATTTGCAAAATTGGCTCTCACAAGATATTGGTATATATGTATGATCTATAGCTCTTGCATTGACTGAATTCAGTGAAGTCTTCACAGGCTATTAGCCGCATCAAGTGGGTGTAAAAAACTGACATTTTGAGAGCTGTCTCAGCCCTTGTCATCAGCGACCTCATTATCATATCCTGGGTGATGATCAAGACAGCTCTCAAAACATGTTTTTTTTACTGCTACCTGACATGTCTGATTGTCCATGAAGACTTGATGGAATTATTACATACATTATATTAATATACGTAGATTCTGAGACTGCGTGGACTGGACTTTGCATGGCCCTTATGTAAAGTAATAATTAGCATTGTCATTGATGATACTATTGAAAGATTTGTAATAAATTGTGCTTTGTACCACCATCTGTTTTATTCTCTTTCTTTTCTGTGTACTGAAAATTGTATTATTCTGTTCTGTAGGGGACTGTAATTGCAAAAGCTACAAATGCCCTGTTGTCTCTTTAGAGTAGTCATTTAATTTAAATTGTTGTATAATTGTTAATGATGCTACATTGAACTTTGTAAATATTATGGTAGTGTTGTATATAGATTGTAAATTAAGTAGAATTTTATTTGCAGTTAAGGAACATAAAACAAGTATTTGTTGATTTTACTGATATTGCATCCTGTTGACATACTTAGTGGCTGATACTGTTAATATACTCCCATCATTTCTTCAGTGCACTGGATCAGATAATGATGGGTTATTTTGCATTTAAGAAAGATACATATTCAGGATTCCATACACATGAAATAATCATTTGGTTCAGGAAGATAATAAACAAAACATTTATTCCATTACATTACATTACATAAAGTTTTTAAATACTTTGTTACTTGTGAAAATTAAATCATGTGCCATAAAAGATGCATTTTATATTTTCTTTTTGTCAAGGTTTGTGTGAAATAATATGGTGTTTTATAGGTTGAAGAGCAGGTGAGAAAGGATTAAGCTTATGGATGTCATATGCACACAGGCATAACATGAACATTAAATTTGTAACCATCCTTATCCACTGGATACCTTAGGCTTTTTCCAGGTTGTGAAAAATTGTCCCCAAACATCATCTAGTGCCAAGGTTAAGAATTTGTGAAGCATCATATACATACCCCCTGTATGTTATCATTACTTTTGGTATTTCAAGTATATAGGGGTAGCAGTAGCACAGTTTCACACATTCTTTAGCTCAGCAGTTGATGGAGGCAAATGATCAGTTCATAATTCTGGCCACTTTACTCAGGGTACTCACTTGATACAAGGCTGGGTGGGCCACAGTACATATGGTTAAAAAATCTGTCCCCTGCCAGAAATCAGATGTCATTCATTAAACCTATAAATAGCTCTGAGTTGTCCAAGTTTCCACAGTACTTTTTAAAGAGTGGTTAGCTTCATATTAAAAACTTACTTTGTATTCAGAATATGTGGTATGTACACCGTTGGTGGTCTGGTAAGTAGTCATGTCTGTTTCTTCTGCTTTCACCTTAACCTTCTTTTTTCAAAATTAATATTTCCTTTGTTGGCTCACAAGGCATATTTATATCAGGATTTAGTACTTACAAAGACTCTTATATAAGAATAGGTTGTGTCTATGACTGTCAGTTATACATAATGGAATCAGTAATGTTAAAGGATTCTTGGGCTTATGGTTTGCATTATTGACCATAAATCCACTGCCTTCTGTCTGGCTGAGAGTTGTCATTACCTAGAGTTTCTTTTTCCAGTGTGTGTGTAGGTTTTTAAGGTTATTACTGCCACACTTGAAAGTTTATTTATTACTTAGGGTAAAAATGAAAACCTATAGACATTCAACCAGTCCCCAGTTTAATGTCCTTTTAAATAAATTGGCCTACTGGTCCTGAAATAAACCCCTGAGTTACTCAGTATTTCATACTTAGGTGATATTAAGATACTAATGTGTTGTATTTTCCAGTATTTATCAGTTACCTTGACTGATATCAGATGCTTGGAGATAAGTAATTTGCTATCAACATTTTTTTTTTAAAGATATGTGAATCTGTACTGCTGGTTATTCTGGAAGACAATTTATGAGGGTGAATATTGAAGTAAATCTTACGGATGAAGTTATGATGATGCGAAATGGATCAACATCTCTCAAGATCATATCCAGTGGCAATCCTAGTACATACAGTATTTGAGAGAAACTAAAAGGATTCTTTGAAAGACTGTTATCATATGAATTTATAGAAAGACCATAATATTATAGTATTCATTTTGAACAATCCTAATCTCCATTTTCATTAATAAATTATCTCCTGAAAACTTATGTATGAAATTAATGCACCCCAGACTTAGAATTAAAATAAGTAGGCAGAGATATAACTTGCTTGAATAAGTGTGGTATACTTAATTTTCTTCCGTCTTAAATTTCCAGAGCTGGTGGCATATTTGTGTATGTGCAAAAGCCATTGTCTGTCGGTCATCCTTTAATTCAAGCGCAATGGTTTCATGTGATTCAGTTCTCTCTTTTGAGGACAGTGCAGAGTGTATTGTGGTTCTATGGTTTGAGTTTGTGTGGGCCTTTCCGTACCATTCTCATCACTCAGCACTATGATTTTGCCATCATCACTGGTATTGGAGCTTTGTTTTCTGGTAGGTATTCTATATCAAGTAAGATGGTAATAACTCTGAATGAGTATAGGCCAGACTGAATCATTCTATAACATGAGTTCCAGACTCTGTTATGTTTAGAGGTTTTTAGATTTATGTATCGTTACACCATGTAATATTGGTAGATACCAGTGTATTGGAGGAACATGTTTCTTCCATCTTCAGTGTTCAGGATTGAACCCTTGAATTGTAATGGTCAAAAAAACATATCTTAAGTCACACTGCTGTAAAAACTTTGGTTCTTATTTTGGAGGGTTGGTTGAAAATGTATTCATTTAGCAGATTTTCCCTTCCACTACTATTTTGAGGTAAATTCACTAAAATCAGTAATGTAGATGAGATTTCAGGTTCTCATGGTGGCAATTATGAAGATGACTGTCGTTTGGGATGTTGCGCTATGTAGCCTGGTGGAAGTTTATTTATGTTTAAGAGGTACAAGGAGTTTGTGAATTGGCTGGAGTTGGGAACTGTAGGAAAAGTGGAGTTAGGTTAGGTTAGGTTGTACATGTAGATATCACTAGTTTAATTATTTAAAGTCCATTGGTACCTACATGTATCACCTACTTTTACAGTCTGTTACAGATTTTGCTCACAGAGTGTGTTTATTATAGGTTTTGTATGAGTCTCAGAATAAGCTTTGATTATTCCTTAAACAGCTTAAACCAGTTAATCTTTGTAGTAATGAAGTGTTGTGTTTTCTTTGTGGTAGAGACTGGGTCTTTAAGGAATACTTACACCAGCTTTGGCTTCAGGGGGTTAAAGGGTTAAACCTGCTAATTGACAGGGTGAACTGTATTTCAGGAGTGGGTGTTCCAGCAGTGTATCGTGGCACAATGTTATTTCTAGGTGCCATATTGTCGCTGCTATTTATTGATCATGATGAGGGACAGCAACATCCAGGAGATAATCATTTGTTTTCGAACATAAGCTCCTGGTTAGGGTTTGCAGACCACAAGGTAATGTGATACTTTGACATTTGTGAAGTATGTCCATGGTTGTGATTCTATCTGTACTTGTAGGTGGGTATCAACATTTTCCAGGAATGTACTGCTTCCGTATTCAAGGCTGTTTTTATACTTAGGCAGTCAAACGAAACATTGGAGGAATAAACCACTGCATTCATAATGAAAATTAATCCGACCTGTTTGACACAAAACTGATGAATTATAGTCACGTGATCAAACACAGGTCACATCACCAGAATTGCCAGTTTGCAAATTTGACTGTCAGACCTGATGTATTATCTTTGTTTTTAGTTTGGAGTGATGTTGCTGTTTGTGTTACTCCTTGTTCAAGTTGGGGTTAACGCTGTTGGGAAGCGTATTGCAGCGGATATTGGTGGTGTAAAGAAGCTGCATTCACTTGTCACACTTATTGAAGGCATATATCTCTTTCCATGGATGGTTGTATTACTTGTAACACAGGTTAGAGTAGATATTAAAGTGTATTATATTCATTGTAAAAATAAGTTTACTGTATATAATTGGAAATAGTGACACAAATTGAGCCATGATAATAGAGTTATACTTGTATACTGAATACTTCCATTAGCTGAGGTATATTTGATATCTGAGACATTTCAGAAGCTGTCTCTACTTCTGTGATTGTTTTGTGTTTTCTTCTCATTGTACTGACATTTTTATTGCTTTTATTTCTAATATTAGTGGCAGCAGTTGGGATTTAATCTGAAACTCTTTATGTATG